CCAGATTTTATTACATATTTCCAATATATGACTTGATCAGCTTCACATCTGTACGGCTCAACCACCATAGATCCACATCCTATGTATTAAAAAAGGGACTTGGGTCTGCTCTTTTCATTTCAACTCACAATTTCTTTAGTTGATTATTCACATTGATGTGTTGGAAGAATTCTAAGGCTGCAAATTAGCCGAATTGAAGATTTTATTATTAGATTTCGATAGAATTTGGATATGACCTGAATTCTTTGTTGAAAATAATTAATTGAGAGTTTTAATTAAAACATGTTTGTTTGGCATTTTATGTAGAATCGTACCGTTGGGGAGGGTCTCAGCCACCATTTTTGACCAATCTCCCTTGGATTGGGACCCACAAATTTGAAAAAAGGGTCCAAAAAATCATTTTTATGTTAAAATAATGTCAAACAAACAATGACTAAAGTGCACATTAAGAAAAATCATATTTGAAATGCTATTGATAAATCCCATTCAAATTTATTTGGCGAATTCTAATTGAAATTCTATTTGGAAGCCCATTGAGTAGGAATTTGTATTGGACTTGAAGATGATTTTGGGACGAAGAAAATCAAGTTTTTGGAGTAAATGACCCAAAAGTGGGCGTCGCGACGTTAGACAAGTTTGGCTCGACGCTGCCCTATATGTTCACTTCTTGCGCAATTTTTTCTGTCCTTTTCCGTTTTGAACTCTATTTTTTCCAGGTCACCTTGCACAATTTTAACAATGGAAGACTCTTTGTCTGATTCAATCAACTCCACATCTGTATGACTCGATCACCACAACTCCACCTCTGTACGACTTGATTACCAACACAATTCTAGATTGGTGCCATCCATTATCACAATATGACTTGATCAGCTTCACATCTGTACGGTTCAACCACCATAGCTCCACATCCTATGTATTAAAAAAGGGACTTGGTCTGCTCTTTTCATTTCAACTCACAATTTCTTTAGTTGATTATTCACATAGTGATGTGTTGAAGAATTCCAAGGCTGCAAATTAGCCGAATTGAAGATTTTATTATTAATTTTTTTGTTAAAATTTGGATATGACCTGAATTCTTT